CCAAGCTGTCTTAAAAAAGTAGGATTTTATGAGAAAAAGTAGGAAAAAGTACGAAAATCAAGCAATTTTTAATAAAAAATAGGAAAAGCAGGAATCGAAAGTTGAAGAAAAGTAGGAAAAAGTAGGAAAAGTAGGATGGCAAGAAAGCCTGAAGTTGTCATATCAATGGATTTGGCCTGTCCAATTGTCTGTCGAGACTTGAGAGAGTTAAAGTTAAATGAACCTGTAAAAGTGTAAACCCAATAGGCCAATACACAATGTACTTTTACTTTTATAAAATCATTGACATTGTGTCGTTTGAATCCGAGTACAATTTATGATGCAACTCCGATGTAAGTAATATTTGGGACGTAAAGATTAAATCTAGGCAAGACTATTTCCTAAAAGAATTAAAAACTAAAAATAATGTTCGTAAAATTTCCAAACGTTCCTTGCAAGCAAGCTATTTGCATGACAAGGCACTGCAAACTCTATTCAGGGGAGATAGTAGAGTTTCAAAACTTTACAATTGGTCCAATAAACCAGTGAATGCAAGCGAGGAGCAATTAGTTTCAGAGTATTGCACTGTCTTTTTCTATTTGAGTGTACTCCTACGTTTATTTTGTATCATCAACACTCTGCACGTTGGAGTGGACTATTTAATTATTTTTTATAATGCCGAATATATTGGGGGGGTTGAAATTGTTTTTGGAGGGGTGGACATTTTGTTTGGGGGGGTTATAGCTAATATTGGGGGGTAGCACCCCCCTGCACCCCCCCCACAAAATCCGTCTATGATTATTGTACCGTGATCCAATCAAAAGATGTTCCGTTTTGACTAGGTTAAGACAAAGCCTGTTTGATAGAAGCCATTCTCTGATATTATTGAGTGGATAAAAGATTATCTCTCAAACAGGAAACAAACAACAACTGTTAATGGTCATGATTTTAAAGCAATGGATGTGGAATTCGGTGTTCCTCAGGCCTCTGTGCTAGGTCTCACTCTATTTGCATTATTCTGTAATGATCTCACGAATATAGTAAAAGAGGATGAGGATGCAGAATATATATATATATATATATATATATATATATGTATATATATATATATATATATAGATTGTCTATATCTTAATATTAAATATCGCTACTCTGAGTTTCACGTCCTTTCTAGACGATCATCAGGCGATTTTGTATATATATATATACATATATATACATATATATATATATATATATATATATATATATATATATATATATATATATATATATATATATATATATATATATATATATATATATATATATATATATGTATATATATATATATGTACAATCTGCAGACATGCATGTTTCGACGTTCTACGCCTCGTCAGTGCAGCTTGGTACACGTATTGAAAATACAATGACGTAAACATCGGAATCTGCATGTATAATGAGCTACACAAATAAATCGCTTATAGCAAATTGAGACGAACTTTGTACGTATTTTTTAAGCGTTTAATGCATTTTTACACATTTTGCTGGGCTGCCTATGCTCGAACCGACCTGACCGCGTAGCTCAGTTGGCAGAGCATTGGGCTGGTGTTCCAAAGGTCGTAGGTTCGATTCCCACCGTGGACAGGTATATTTTTCAAGCTTGCCCGTTGTGGATATACACTTGCACGATTTTAGCGCATCTTTCAGGCTATCCTTGTACCTTTTTCGCGGTCTTCCCACCATTCGGTTTCCTTGTTGTAACTCCCCGTACAACAGTATTTTAGGTAATCGTTCATCATCCATTCTCACAATGTGACTAGCCCACTGAAGCTGCCTTTTTTTCAGAATGCTTTCGATGCTACAACATTTTGCCCGATCTAGCATTTCGCAGTGTGGCGTCTTTTCTTCCCATTTTACCCGCATAATGCTACGGAGGGATCGTTGTTGGAAAGCTTCTAGATAAACCATCAATCATTGTGAACGGTCAAAAACTGAAAACAGCTAAAACATTCTCGTATCTTGGTAGCACGATATCCGATGATGCGCAATTAGACCATATATATATATATATATATATATATATATATATATATATATATATATATATAAACGGGTTGTTTTTCGTTGAAAGACTAAAAAGAGTGCTCAATACTACTGATAAACAGTACAGTAGAGCTATGTAATTAACATTACAAATATCTTAAAATAACATTTTTTTTCGCTACTCTGAGTTTCACGATCTTGTCTGATCGATCTTCAGGCGATTTATGTCCGTTTAATTAGTTTGTTTGATTTCGTGATTTTCGTTGACGCACGCGCTTGCATGCGATGAAAACTTCCAGCTTGGAACCGATCTTTATGGCGACATTTTCCGAAGATTTCCGATCGTTTATTAAGTAACGTTTTCTGGTCTGCTTTCATAATGGATAGTTTCTCCTCGTTACACAGATTACATCGCGTGCTACCGGACGCGTAGGGTGTTGAATGTTTCAGAATAGACCAATTGATGGCAAAAGCCTTCCCTTTAAATTTAAGTTCCCATATATACTTCGACAGTTCAGTTTCTTTCTCATACCGAATAAGATTAAAAGATTTCTTATGGTTGCGGTATCTTTCTTTAAATGAATTTGCTGTCATGCCTATATATTCCTTCTTCAAACCGTCATCCAGGGATGTTACAACTGCTTTGTATACGATACTCTCAGCTTGCAGGCATTTGTTATCCAGGGGACATTCATCCTGATTTATACAGTTACATGGTGTTTCAGGTTTTGTAGCTTCGCTTCTTCCTAAGATTTTCCGATTGTGCCGTGAAATAACATTCTTAACATTTGGCATACAACTGTAACTAACTTTGATCGTGTTTCTGTTGAATATTTTGTGTAGTGGATTTGTGGGAGGAAAATGTTTGTCAATAAGTTGCAGAAATCTTCCTCCAACGTTTGTCTTAACTGATTTACTGTATGGGGGATTGAACCATATAACGTTTCTATGTCTCTTTTGTTTCGGTGTTGCAGATGCGTTTAGATCTGGGGGGTTATAGTGTAAGGTTTCCTTAAAGTTGCTTTTCTTCAAGGTTTCTTCGTAAAAAGGTTTTGACTGGTCATACGCCTTTTGGTCGGATGAAAGGGATGATATACGCGTGTTTATTGATTTCGGTATATGCTTTATTATCGAGAAAGGGTGGTTGGAACGACCGTCTACATATTGCGTGGTGTTGAGGGGTTTTCTGTATTGCACGAATCGATTGGAATTCAAGTCTAGAGTAACATCTAAGAAATTTGCAAGATGATGACTTACTTCACATGTTATCTTTAGTCCAAACTGATGGAATGTTTCGTTTAACGATTTCCTTGCCATATCAGCGTTCCGAGTTGAATTACCTTTCACCAAAGTCAAGCCATCATCACGATACAAACCCACACGATTCTTGCCAAAAATCGCCGAGATCTTATTCAGTATATATAGACCAACCAATTCGCATATCTCCGCTCCATCGTAACTACACATTGCTACATCAAACAACTATTCACTATTTGATTTAGTCCATAGTTTATCGTCACTAAACAAAAGCGATTTACGTGCGTGCTTGATTATATTGATTTCATCATCGCTAATATCGATCATCGTAAGTGCCCATTGAAATGTATCATCCAGAAGATCTTCCTTGATAGAGGGATAAAAGTCAACGATATCAAAGGAAAGAAATGTATACTTGGTCTTTCCTTCAATGCTTTTGAACCAATCTGTTACCGACTTCGTATTTTTCCATTGATTAACTTTCGTAATATATCTTATTTCATTGTTTATATTGTCCAGAATAATTTTACTAACTTTTCCAAGATCACTTTTGGCTGGATTGATTAAACGGCATTTGACATTGGCTGGAAAATTCTCTTTATGATCTTTTACAGTAATAAATGCATCACGCTTAGCCATCGTCTCCACAAAGCTTCTATCTTACAAGTTCTTATTCTTAATTGGAGGGTTGATAACACGACAAACAAAGCTGACCATCATTTTTTTCTTTTTTTTCCCTTAAGATTTAATTATGTCAATGTGTTCGTTAAGCAATTTTGCAACATGTATTTGTTAACCCCACTTATTTGATTGAATTATGATTGGTGGAACTGGACATAACATATATTCTCGAATAATGTGACATTAATCTCAGAAAAATTGCTTGTTCATTATTTTAAAATAGCAGGATCAAAATTCAAGTCAGGTGTTTATATTAACCACAGTGTTGTGATTGAACATGCAATCATGCATGCATGAGAGTAGCAGAAATTGTAAGAATATGTATTT